ACCTTGGCTCTTTTATGACTCGTGGACTTCAACTCCCAGAATTCCTGAGCCAGCCACGCTGAGGGGAAAGGGAGAGGTTTCCAAGCTGAGCCATGCTGGCTCAGGGATTCTGGGAGTTGAAGTCCACGAGTCATAAAAGACCCAAGGTTGCCTACCCCTGAACCAGATGAAATAATCTAGAGAGGTAACTTTTGAGATTGTACAGGTTGCTAAGCGAGACAGTAGTTTAGTGAGTTCCCCCCCCCCACTTTACAACCTTTCCTGCCACGGTTGCTAAGTGAATCACTGCAGTTGTTAAGCTAGCAACACGGTTGGTATATTAATCGGGCTTCCCCATGGATTTTGCGGATCAGAAGGCTGCAAAAGGGGATAACGTGGCCCCTGGGATACTGTGACTGTCATAAATACGAGCCAGTTGCCAAGCGGCCAAATTTTGATCATGTGACCATGGGGATGCTGCAATGGTAGTAAGTGTGAAAAACCATCGTAAGTCACTTTTTCCCAGTGCTATTGTAACTCCAAATGGACACTATACGAAGTCAAGGACTTCTTGTATGGCAGTTTTTGTGTTTGTTGCTTGGTCGTCAAATGATAACGTTTACGAAAGGAGACGGCGTTCATGTCATGGTTCCGACAGATGAAACTCTTCAAAGAATTTCGAGGCATTGTTTACCTTAAAGAATCTTTATTTGAGTAGCATAGCATCGGCACTAAATGCCAAAAACTGAGTTCCCCTCCCCTGAGCACATAGTATCAAAGCACAATTCCCTCCTCTAATTAACAATCATAAATCACATTCTCCAATTTGTTTGAAATGCAGGCTTTCCCTCCCGTTCTTCAACCCACCATTTCTTATCATCTCTTATTTCTAAAAACCTTGGTTCTCACACTAGTTACAATATTGTTATGTCTAACTAAACTCCCATGCATGTTCCTCCCCCCCCAGTATCATCTATTTCTAACTTTAATTCTAAGAGTAAAACAAAGTAAACGAAAATGGCTGCATCTCCATGTTGTCGAAGCAAGAAGATCCGATGTTAGCAGCATTGACATTTAAGCTGTGACATGGATTCTTATTTAGCCCATTAACAAGAATAGCTGTTTATATGCCTGCATTGCTCATGAAAGGATATATCCTGAATCTCATTTTCTTTCTGATGATAATTACCACTCTGGGGTATTGTTAACACCTGAGCCTTCATTGAAGCAAGTCAGAAGTTCTAGATATTTAAATGCCATGCTGTATTAATGACAGAAATATTTGTTTTGTCACATTTTGTCCTGAAATCTTGATTTCCAGATTGTTTTTTCCCAGCCCCAACTTCCTGGATTGAGCTGAACCAAAAGTCTTTAGTACTATTTTTTTTACAACATGGGATTATCCTGTTGGGAATAGCTGTACAGACAGTCCTCAACTTACGACTTAGTACTAATGACCAGATGACTGCAAGGAATATAAATCCTCCCATTCTCCACCGTTCAGAGCTGAAGAAGCTTCTTGGATGAAGAGCGAAACATCTTCAAAGAAAAACAAAGGAAGTCCAGTTGCCTCTTGAAAAAGCACCTTTGGGACAACCATGGACCTGGATGACTGAGAATCTCCATAGACAATGAAAATGGGTGGATTTCAACTCCCAGAATTCCCCAGCCATCATGCTTTCAGATGGTGGCCTTCAACTCCCAGAATTCCACAGCCATCATGCTTCCACTCGGTGGCCTTGAATCCCCAGAATTCCCCAGCCATCATGCTTCCACTCGGTGGCCTTCAACCCCCAGAATTCCCCAGCCAGCATGATTCCACTTGGTGGCCTTCAACTCCCAGAATCCCCCAGCCATCATGCTTCCACTTGGTGGCCTTCAACTCCCAGAATTCCCCANAATAGACAACTGTTCTCTATTGTTACCAGCCTAAAGCAAATCCATATTTAGAACATAGATCTTTCATTCCATAATTGCTTAGAGGAAAAAAACAAACCCTCAGTCACAAATAAAAGCACCAAACGATCCACATTCAACCCAATTAAAATGAAAAACTCTCTTATTTTACTGTTGGTAATCCGGTTTGTTAAGGGTTGTTTTTTTCCCCCCCACATCAAAGCTGAGTCAAAACGAGCAGGCCTCAAAATTAAATGGAACCCTTACTGCAGTATATACATTATTACTCAGCATTTATATATATATACAGTATATGTTTACGGCAAAAATAAAAAAGCATGCTTCTCCTCCCTCAACGCTTCTCTTGTTTTTGAATCCTGAGCAGGATAATCCCTTGTAGCTCCTAATCTCCAGCGGGAAATAAGCAGCTCAGGGGCTCAGGAACCCATTTTACAATCAGCAAGATGGAAATTCTTATGAAAGAAAAAAAGAAAGAGAATGGTGGTCCTGCTGATTTATCAGCTTTAGAAGTGTCTCAGGTTCAAAAAAGTAGGTGATGACCCTTTTCTGTTTAGTAATACACATTTTGTCATGTTTAGTCTTTCTGTAGGTCTGTATTTTTGTTTTATTGTATTCATAAGCCACTGAGCCACCAGGAGTCTATTGATTTGAGGAGATAAAAAAAATCTGACGAAAAATAAGTATTCATGAACAAGTAATGCACCTAGCTAAATACAATTGCCTGTAACATAAACCATAATAAAAATAACAGGACTGTATTTTTTTATTAAGAATAACCAGAATCAGGGGTAGGCCACCTTGGCTCTTTTATGACTCGTGGACTTCAACTCCCAGAATTCCTGAGCCAGCCACGCTGAGGGGAAAGGGAGAGGTTTCCAAGCTGAGCCATGCTGGCTCAGGGATTCTGGGAGTTGAAGTCCACGAGTCATAAAAGACCCAAGGTTGCCTACCCCTGAACCAGATGAAATAATCTAGAGAGGTAACTTTTGAGATT